TGAGTGCAGAGGCAGAAGGAACCCCTGAGCACTGTTCAGTGTGACCCAAAAAGTCAAAAATAAACAAATAAAACAGAGGACAGCTCCACAGGCAACTTAAAAACTTGACTTACAATGAAACAGGGAATGTGTCAGCTGCTGTCAATAGGAGAACAGACTGGTGATTCAAAAGCAACACTTACTCCTCCAGTACTCACTATTCTTTTCACAGTTCGTCTTACCTTGGCCACATTTCCAACATCTACCTACAGACAGGAATTCTTAGCTCTAATGACAAAAACAAAGGAAGCATGGGGGTTTGTGTTTACTTTCTCAGTGTCTCCTCTTTGGTTTTTTTTGGGGGGGGCTTTTTTGGAGTGACTCCCAGTGATTACAGGGGATTGAACCCAGGTCAGCTATATGCAAGGCAAATGGCCTACCCGCTGTACTACAGCTCCAGTCCCAGTGTTTCCTCTTTCTGGCTTGTACTACTAATGGCTCACACTTGAATGGTGGTTTCATACATTGTAGAGCATATGTAAATGGTAAAGCCAAAGTCAAATGCATTACTGCCTCATGTTTAGCAGATCATGCAATACATAAATACAAGCAATCTTGACTGGAAGTTACAAGGATAAAACAGAAAAGAACCTTTTGAGTTTTAAGTCACAATATAATTGTCAAGTTATGCTTTGCTGTATTATTTTAGAAATCATCTATTGGAGAATATATTAAACATGCCTTAGATTTCTTGACAAATATTATCTGAAGGGCAAATGTTAAAGTCACAGGTACTGGGGATGGAGCAATAGCACAGCGGGTAGGGCATTTGCCTTGCACGCGGCCGACCCGGGTTCGATTCCCAGCATCCCATATGGTCCCCTGAGCACCGCCGGGGGTAATTCCTGAGCTCAGAGCCGGGAGTAACCCCTGTGCATCGCCTGGTGTGACCCAAAAAGAAAAAAATACAAGTCACAGGTACTGAATACTGTTTCCTCCTCCAGGAGGAAGTGTTGAGAAATTGTGTGGCATAAATAGGAAGCTTTCAAGCAATCAGAATAAAAACAATGCTTTATTTTACAGATTTTTTTACAATTACCTTTGCTGAAATTCACTATCTTCTTTAAACTCCCTCAAGAAAGGTGCTGTGAAATAAGACTAGAAGAATGGGCTGAAGATCCATAAAACTTAGGTTATCTCAATTTACCAAGTTTAGTCAAATCATTCTCTTCTCTTCATAAGCCCACTGTTTATGTTGCTAAAGATAACACAGGTCCCATAAACTTGTTAAAACAACTGTGTATTTGAAAACATGGCCACTCCTCCAACCCCAACTACTTGTCCTCAACATCCAAATTACTTTTATGGAAATATGCCAAATAACCTTTAAAATTAAACACATAAAGAGATATAAACATATTGCCCACTTCACAGGCGGAATTGGGGGAGTTGGGGGCGACAGGAGGGAACCTGGGGACACTACACTAGTGCTGGGAAATGTAAACTGGTGGAGGAATGGGTATTGAAATGCTGTAGGTAAAGAATGCCTTTTGGGGGAAAGAAATCTGGCCATCAAGCAATATTCTTCACAAGTTTATTAAGTCCTGAAAGCACAAAGTCAAAAATCGTCCCTAAATTAAACCACTGCTTCAGTAAATAACACAAGTTATACTAGTTAAAGCAAAAGCCAGTTGATGCGTTTTATTTCTTCCAATCAGTAGTTGGAAACATACTAAATTAGACATAGTGAAAGAACTGTAGCTGGGACAACACTGCATTCACCTAGACTAGTTTTTCAACAACCACAAATGATTATTCCCAAAATGACAAGGTATACCGTATACACAACAACCCAGCTTTGATATAAACCTTAATCACATCCTGGGTGAGATGGGGGCAGGGATGTAACTAGTTAATAACACAGAAACTATATTCACTTGTCTATAAATACATACTTGAATTATCTACATTTTGACTACACACCACTGTTAATTGCTGATAAAATGCCTTAATAATGCTCTCTACGTTTCAAAACCAAAGTGATTTCTTATGGTATACTTCTATATCACTTAACTTCAAATACTTAATTCAGATCACATTAACTTAAAGTGCTTTTTATAGTATAAAACCTTGTAATACAAATTACTACTAAAAGTACCGTTAATAAATTTCTTTAAACAAAAAAAAAAAAAAAAAAGAAAAAGGAATAAAGCTATTTAAAAGGCTTGAAGCAATAGTACAGTGGGTAGAGCATCTTTCTTGCACGTGGCGCTCCAAATCCCAAGTACAGCCAGGAGGAGTGATTCCTGAGTTCAGAGCCAGGAGCAACCCCTGAGCACCACTAGGTGCAACAACAACAGTAACAAAAAAACCAATTCAGAAACTCCAATGATAGTACAGCAAGTAGTGCATTGTCTTGCATGGGGCCAAACTGGGCTCAATCCCCAGTCCCCCAGTCCAACCAGGAGTCAGCTCTGAGCACTGCTGGGTGCGGCCCAAAAACAAAACGGGAAACAATCCAAGCTATGACTCTTAATCCCCCATACTTAAATGTTGAACTTCAAATTCAGCAAATGTAGCTGAAATATTACGTAGTATCATGTAGGAGGGAGGGTGAGGGAGAGGAAGAGAGGAGTGGGGGGAGAGAGGAGAGGAGAGGGGAGGAGAGAGAAGAAAAGCACCTGCCACAGAGGCAGGCAGGTGTGGAGAGGGGAGTTGGGGGCGACAGGAGGGAAGCTGGGGACACTACACTAGTGCTGGGAAATGTAAACTGGTGGAGGAATGGGTGTTGGAATGCTGTATGACTGAAATCCAATCATGAACAACTTTGTAATGAATGGTCTATCTCACAGTGATTTCATAAAGTAAATAAAATAAAAATAGCACATATATTATATGGTAAGCCCCCAAAGGATCTACTTCTTGAAACCACAATTTCAAATTTCTTTCCCATATTTTGGAAATAAAATATGAAGATCTGAAAACCTGTTCAATATAGCACTACACCTTAAGTTTTATAAAGCTGTGGAAAACAGTGAGAATTTACCAGATATAGCAAACTCTCTAGCCTCCCCACCAAGCATTCTACCTTCATGTCCATCTACTATTGATGATTTCCCATTAGATTTAGACTCCTTGAGAAAGAACATGATTTTTCATTTCCTATTCCTCTCTAGGTAACTTACTCTTTTACCTAGATATCCAGTGAGTGTTCAATATTTAAACACCAAGTACTAATTTAAGATGAAATTGCTTAATCCCAGAAAATTAGAATTTGGGGAACATATTGCAGCTATGAATCACACACAGCACAGTCTCTGGAAAATGTGGGCCTAACTAAGCAGTTCCCCAAAGGCCAATTACATGGATTGAATGTCCAGTCTAGCTCCAAGGGGTCTTCCGATGCCATCACCAATCCTCCAACGTTTTCCACATGAGAAGTCATCTAGGCACATCTCTCACAGTGTTTCAGAATACTGAACCTGAAAAGTTAGTGATCACTTAAGAGTACCTAAAAGACTATACAAGACACATTAAGTAACTTTTAAAAGCCGATTTTAAAAATATTCCTTACAGTAATACCTGCCTCATTTGATGAGAGAATTTAAAAGGACTCAACGTATCACTACCATTACATTCAGTTCCACACCAACTAGTAAGTTTTTGTTCAGGACAAAAGTCAATCTAAATTTATCTCCCTTAAATTGCGAATATCACAGCACAGTTTCTGACAAAGTCTGAGACGCACATACAGCAAACTCATGGACCTGCATTTTCACATCAAACCACAAACGACTATGATTAATACTTCTAATAACTCTTGGTTTTACTAAACGCGAATGCGAGACTCTACAATTCTGTAGTAAAATGAAATACTGCAAACTTAATTTTGAAAAGGGGAGGAATGCATAACGGAGACCAGTATTTTCTGTACTTTGAAAACTGTAGTTATTATGAGACAACACAAAACAGCTAGTATCTCAAATTGGCCACCAGTTTTCCGGGCCCCTAGGGAAACGGGTAATAAAATATAAAGTTTAGCGTAAGCAGTAGATCACCTGAAACATTCCACGTTCCACATCTGTGATAGAAATAACTTAAACGCTAAGCAAGTTATCTTAAGTATAGAAAGCGCTCGATCAACAGTTCCTACGACTACTCAGTCACAAAACCCCAGGCGGCTCTTCCAACAAAGAGCTAAGGCACAAAACTTGCTGGTCCGAACAGTTTATGTCGCTCTTTTTATAACGAAAAGGGCAAAATGCCAAGTATGTTAAACTTGGAGAAGGGTTTCACACTATCCATTTTGAGTCAGCCTGTAAATCACAAACTGACACTTGATTTCCAATCCGAAAGCTCCTTTTGTCGTATGACTCACCAAATTCCTCGTTTCTTCCAACTACGAAAATTAAGTTATACTTCCAAACTCACACGATAACCTCCTTACGAATTGAGGTTGAGAGATACGCTTTAAGAAACAATAATAAGTAGAGCCCACCTTTTAAACAGGTCTCGAGAAGACTTCCGAACAACCCCTTTCCCCTCCCCCCGGAACAGCGCTGGGGCCGGGTGACCTTTCCTTGGGACCCGGGATCCGGCCTACGCGGGCCGCCTCGGGGGGACCCTCCGGGGCGGGCGCGGACCCCAGCACCGGAACCCCGGGGCCGGCGAGCCGCCTCGGCCCCGCCTCGCCGCCGCGTCCCGGACCCCGCGGCGGCCGGCCGGAGCCGGGTCCCGCCGCCGCCAGCCCCCACGGCGGCCCGGACCCCGCCACACTCCGCTCCGCGGCCCGGGAGTCGGGGAAACGGCGCCATTTTAGGCGGCGGTGACGGCCGCGGCCAATCCCAGCGGCCGAGGCCAGGGGGCGCCGGGTCGCCCGGGAGCCGCCGCCGGGCGCCGGGCGCCGGTCAGGGCGGCTCGCGGGGAGCCCGGGCCGGCGGCCTCCGCCATGTTGCACCCTCCCTCCCCACAGCCGCCCCATCCCGCGGCGGGCTCGGGCCGCGGCGGCGCCCACGGCTCACCTTTTCGCAGAGGCTCTTGACCTGGGACTCGGACAGCTGCTTGCACTCGTTCAGCTGCTCGATCCACTGGTCGAGCTCCTTGGTGAACACCTTCTCGTCCATGATGCCACCCGCCCCAACCGGCTGCCGCTCCGCGCTACTCCCGCGCCGCCGCCCGCACCCGGGCCACACGCACACGCCGCCGCCGGCTCCTGGGTGTGTGTTCGTGTGTGGTGGCGGTGGGGTGGGATGGTCCCTCGGTGTTGACGGCAGGCGGCTGCTCCTCGCAAGGCTCGGCCGCCGGCCACTGCCCTCCTTCCCCGCTCGCTCTTAGCCTCAGAGCTCGGCTCTCTGTAATGGCGGCCGTCGGCGTGGTGACGTCACGCCCGGCGTCAGGAGGCGGCGGGGCGCGGAGGGCTCGGCAGGCGCCGGCGCGAGCTGCGCAACTGCAGAGCCGACGCCGGCCTGATCCCAGCGGCGGGAGGCGGCGCCCGGGCGCAGGCGCAGCGCGGCCCCGGAGCCTGTCGGGCGTGGTCGTCCGCGAGGGCGGGCCGCGAGGGGGAAGGGAGGCCGAGGTCGCGGAGCGCGCGGCGCCCGCGGCGCCCGCTGAGGCGAAGGCGGCTGCTCCCAGAGCGCCGGGGCCGCCGCGGGGTGCGCGTCTGGCGGGGGCGCTCAGTCCGGGGGTGGGGGAGGGGTTGTCGCTGCGGGACGCTTTATTCCTCAGGATAGGTCACGCCTCGCTTCTTTACCCGGGAGCGGCAGCCGGATCCAGGAAATGAGGATTGCGACCCCGACACTCCTCCCTGGTGCTGCTGCGCGTGAACTGCGTCGGGGGGGGGGGGGTCTCCTAAAGTGGGGGCGGAGCGGGAGCCTGCCCGGAACGGCCTCCTCTACCTCGGGGCGTGCCCGGCACCTTCTAATTAGGTCGCTGGTAGGCGGAGGAGGATGTAGTCGCCGGGGGAACTGCGCGCCGAGCACCTGACTCCCCCGCTCACACCTGTCTCCGAGCCTGGCAGCTCCCGGGCGCAGTGCTGGCCGCCTCCGGCTTGGTCCGCTTCAGCCCCAGGTGTGCGCCTTCCTGGAACCCATTTCCCCCCACCCACCCACCCCCCGGGAATGGAAGCAGCTCAGCTGCCCGCGCCGGCCTCCTTTCCGGGGGGTGGGGTGTGTGAGGGGGATGTGGACTGTAAGATGGACGAACCCGGCCTGACGGCCTCGCGGTAGCGGTAGGAACCACGATGGACGAGCTGCACTTCGGAGACAGCTCGGCTCTCTGGGATGTGCCCTCCGGCTGGCCTAGAGTCTCTTGGGGCTTACGGAATGTGTTCACGTTCCATGGTCCCTGCATTCACAAGAGTACTTATTTGACTCTGTAGAGCACCAGATCTGCGTGAGGACCGGGACTTTGGAAGAGAAAAAGGTCCATTCCCAAACGCACAAGGAGCCCTGCCTCAGTGGCGCTCCCATTCTCCCGAAGCAACTGGCTTTCAGTGGTTTAGAGAACGTTGCTCAGGCTGACCCCCGCTCTATGAGCCCCGCTGGGAGCGTCCCCTGTGCACAGAGTTGGGAGCATCTCCTGCGTGTGGCCCACCAGGTCTAGGAACAGGTAGGAGGGTAACGATGATGTCCACTGGACCTGAGGGAGAAAAGCGTTCCAAAGCTATTAGCCATAAAGAGCAAGGCGAGACTGGCTCCTCGTACCCTAGCTACTTCCCTCTACCCAATCACCCTTGACCCTGACGCTCCTCTCCCTTGTCAGCGATGAGATGCTCCCAAGAGGCTGAAAATCCTGCTTCGCCCACCTTGACAACCTGCTAGGCCAGGCAGACTGGCTAGACCCTCCCAGCTTGGAAATAGCAGTTTAACTTTCCCTTTGTACCTCCCACTAGCTACCCAAAGAAAGTACTTCAGATCTACAATCCTTGAGGCTTAATAACAAACATACTTAATTTACCAGACTGGTTTTTAACTCAAACTCTGGCGCTTTTTTCCCCTAGTCAACATAACCAAACCACATAAAATATGAGTTAAGATCACAGAGTTAAGATGACAGTGATAGTTGGAAATGATTGCTCTGGACAAGAACTGAGCACTGAGAGGAGGTAAAGGGATATGCATAATATGACCTTTCAGTAACAGTATTGCAAACCATAGTGCCTAAAAGAAAAAAGTGGGAGAGAGAGAGACAGACACACACACACAGAGGAAAAGTATCCCATAGAGGTAGGATTGAAGTGGGGGACTCAGGACATTGATGGCACAAAATACACACTGATACACTGTGAAGGGATGGGTGTTGGAATATTACATGAATGAAACTCAGTTATAAATTAATATGGTGAAATGAATGAAGGGGAAAAAAATCACTTGGCCATGACTATAAAGCCATTCCTAGTGTGCTATCTAATTTTATTCATCTATGTTGCCAGGTGTGAGGTCTCGTCTTAATCTAATGGGGCAAGTGACAGGCAGGTACTCAAAGAAAGGGAACATGCCCAAGAGAGAGGTCAGCAACTAACACTTCATCCTCCAGAATGCCACACTCACACAACTGACAGTCCAAGGATGGAAATAGGAAACTGGCTCACTGTAACTCCCCTTTTCCTGTTTTCTTAGCTAGAAAGGTGGGGGCAGGGGGATGGGGATGATGTCAGTTTGCTAGAATTAAAAAGCATTGAGAGGGACTGGAAAAATAGTATAGTGCTAAGGCCCTAGCCTTGCATTCCACTGACAGTGTCAATCTCCAGCATCACATATGATTTCTGGGCACTGCCAGGGATCATTCCTGAGCACAGAGTCAGGAATAGCTAGATTATAAATGGGATTTCTAAAATACTTTGAGCTCTTTGTTACTAGCATTAATGTAGGTATAATTTATTTTCTCTTGATGCAGATTAGTTGGCTCATACCACTACAAAAATGGAGGAAAGATATAATTATATGAACTTAAAACATCCTGCCAAATAATTAGATACCATGGCTTAACTTCTTAAGGAATAAATTCTAGGAACCTCTTATTAGCATTAGGCAGTAAGTAAAGCATTCAGATTATAAATGATACAGAATACCAAATCAGAATGTCTTTTCCTTTAGAAGAAATCTAGAATTCTTAATTCTGTGCAGCTCAAAATAACCTGTGAAGATTTTTAGTTTGATTATGTGATTTTGAGTACTAGGACCTATCTCAATTCTAGAACTGTGGAAACTTGGAACAAAAAGTTTAAACAAATGAAAAGGAATTTTTCACTTGATTTATTGGCAAAAAACTAGTGAATGAGGATCTGGAGAGATAGTGAATAGGGCACTTAGATTGCACATGGCCAACCCAGGACCAATTCCCAGCATCCTATATAGTCCCCTAAGCACTGCCAAGAATAATTCCTGAGTGCAGAGCCAATAGTAACCCCTAAGCATCGCTGGGTGTGGCCACAAAACCAAAAGAAAAAAATAAAAGTACAACGACAAAAAAAAAAACCCTAGTGAAAACCCTCCTGAATGAGTGAAGCAAATATGCTTAATATGCTTCAAGAATGAGTACATAGGGGCCAGAGAAATAGTACAAGTAGGGCGCTTGCCGTACATGTAGACAGCCTGGGTTCAATCCTCAGCACCCCATATGGTCCCTTGAGTCGTGCCAGCAGTGATCTCTGAGCACTAAGCTAGGAGTAGTCCCTGAACACCACCAGGTGTGGCCCCTAATAAACAGAACAAAACAAAAGAATCTTTGCTTAAAGAACTGAACCTACAGCAAATCTTAATGTTGCTTATAATGTTTTACCATAGCTATATATGGCAGTCATCTGCTGGTGGGGATGGGGTAGAAGGAAGAGAACTGAGAACAAATAGTTTTATAATAGGCAATCCGAGCCAAGATACAAACATTGATATTAAACATGGTGAAGGAGTATTTATTAGAGACATGAGAAACATTTCTTAGAAATTCTCTTGGTTTTGGGTTTAGTGTATTGTTTCACTTCTAGTTCCCTGATTCTAAACCCACAGAGACAAAGTACAGATGGAGTCTGATGGGTATGGGTTTGAATTCTGGTTCTGCAACTATTTTGCTCTGTAAAGTTTGTCAAGTGACCAACTTTTCTAAGTCCCAATTTGTTCGAGCAGGCCCAGTAACGTCTCCATTGGAGACTTTGTTGTTACTGTGTTTGGCATATCGAATACGTCATGGGGAGCTTGCCAGGCTCTGCCGTGCATTCGAGATACTCTCAGTAGCTTGCCGGGCTCTCCGAGAGGGGCGGAGGAATCGAACTCGGGTCGGCCATGTTGGCTGCGTGCAAGGCAAACGCCCTACCGCTGTGCTATCGCTCCAGCCCAATTTACTCATGTACAAACTGGGGTAATTGTAATGCACAGTGATCTTTGGTAACAGAACATGTATAAATATAATATGAAGCCAATAGATAGGGCCATAGATGGTGCTTATCTTGCATGCACCCGCCTGGGTTTGATGCCCAGCACTGCCTGTGGTCCCCTGTGCACAGCTGTGTGTGATCCAAAAAACAAAACAAAAAAGGTGAATAAACTCACTGGGTAAAGGGGTGGGTGAAGGAGGAAATTCAAAGAGAGTCAGAGATAGAAATAAAACAACACCCTCTCCCTTTGCTATCACACAAACATTCGGGTTTGTGGAATCATCTAGGAATAAATTCAAGACTTTAATTGGCCAATCTTCTGTTTCTGTCATCTCAGAATCTTGTACATGAAAAAGGGTCCCATATCCAGCAACATGCTGTCATGTTGTCAGATACTTCTATGACCCAAAAGCCCCAAATAAAGACCTTAGCCGTCAGCACCTGGGCCCATAGTGATAATACAGTGGGTAGGGCTGACATTCCATATGGTTTTCCAAGCACTGCCAGGAGTAATTTCTGAGTGCAACTCATAGGTATCTATCCCTTTTGCTTTCCTTTGTGGTTTCCAAAAAATTATATTTACATTTAATTGGAATTAAAATGTTATCAATATGGAATTAAAATTTTATCAATATGGCCCAAATTTTGTGGCCAGGAACTTTGCCATAGATATAATACAGCCCTTTCCCCAGCTACTGAAGCTTAGCTAAGGAAAGAAAGAGAAATGATCATGTCCCCTGGTAGTATCCAATTCTCAGTTTTGAAGGCAATATTTTTTTCTCTATTACTAGAAAAAAAATCTCTGGAAGGGAAAGCAAAGTTCATAACTCTAGAAGATTTCAATTTAAGAATATTGTCACCAGTTTTGTATGTAACTATTAAAAATGTTATGTCCTGGGCTGGAGAGATAGTATAGCAAATAGGGCACAAAGCCAGCCCTAGGTTCGAATCCTCAGAATGTCTCCAGAGCACCACCAGGAGTAATTCTGAATGCAAAGCCAGGAGTAACCCCTAAGCATCACTGAGTGTGGCCCAAACCCTCCCCACAATGTTAGGTCCTTGTGGGTGACCAACAGGCATATGAAAAAGTTCTCATCATCACTCATCATTAGGGAAATGCAAAGCAAAACAATACTGACATATCTCACACAAGTGAGAATGATGTATGTCTAAAAGTCTAGAAACTGTTGAGGGGAAAGGAGCCCTCATCCACTGTTGGTTGGAATATCATCTGGTTCAGCCTCTATGGAAAACAATATGGATATCTCTCAAAAAATAGGAATAAAACTCATATGACACAATGATACCACTTCTTGACATTTATCACCAAAGCA